AGGAGCATGTTAGACTAAATTCCAACCTGGAAGCGCAAAGTAAGGGTCAAATAATTTCTTGCAAAATACCAAATTGAAATATTTATTACGTATAAAAAAACACGTGTATATTGTTATAGTTGCCAGTTGTTTGGAGAGATTGGGGCCCGAGTATGTGTTAAGCGGTGGTGAAGACGATGTAGAGCCCGATAACTCAAATGTAAGTCACACTCATTTTATTATCTTGTCCTCATAGCAGTTAACATCTTATTTTACATCTTATCTTATCTTATCTTATTTAAAATTTTATCTTATTTAAACTTATTTAAAATTTACATCTTATCTTATTTAAAATTTTAACTGAAATGTTCTTTATGCACTTTATAAAATATAAAATCGCTATTTATTACTTTTGTTGGTATTAATATATGAAACAACTTTTGATTTACAGACTCGAAAACGCAAGCTGTCGCAGGAGGCGTCTCAAGATGAGAAACGCATGCGGCCAGGTGCAGAGCAAGCGCTAGTGAGTGGGAGTGGGCCAGAGGTGTCGACCACTGATCTTGCGGAAGCTGGGCCTTCCTTCCTTGGAACACACTCACTCTTGCCACCTTTATTTTTCCGTTAGTATTTGACTTTTTGTTTTATTTGTTTCAAACTATTTTTATTTTGTTTGTGACTCTCAACTTACCTTCTGTTTTATTTCTATAGCATCTCCAAATTCTCGGGAGACAGAGATACCAACGCCGTCACAGTTTGCTCACCATACACCATCGCCACTGCTGCAGCTCGAGACGGCGTTAGAACAAGAGATAGCTCTGCGTTTCTGTGAGTAACTCTCTCTCTCTCTCTCTCTCTCTCTCTCTCTCTCTCTCTCTCTCTCTCTCTCTCTCTCTCTCTCTCGTAAAAAATCTATTTGAGAACCCTGTTTACTCTCCTATAGTTTTATTGATTGATTTTGTATTAAGCGACTTGTACTTTTGTTTTCAGCTCAAGACGACTTACTCCAGATTTACGGGGCCCTAGAATCTGAAGATATAATCTGAAAAATATGGAGCTCCGTCTGGTCTATGTTCGTCTTGAAGATCCAGGGAAAAGTGGTCACCGTATCTTCGTTGCCTTTTATCGGCTGTTCAGCTCTGGGCTTCCTTTGCCTGATGTGCAGCCCATGAAATGAATGCGTAGATGGTGCAGTTGAAGTCGATGAAAAAAATGAATAAATGTACAATTTGAAGTCATTTTTGCTATTTTTATTTAAAGCCTGTTTGCATATTAATTTATTTAAACTTCATGCACAATGGGTACATAGGCGGACTTAATGCCTTAGGCATTTTCTACCAGTCGAGCCTTGGGTGATGCATATAATGAATAGAAATCTGTTGAATATGTTGAAAATGACTAAATTTTCAAAGAATTAGTAAATAAACTTTGTCAAACTGTCACTAGAAAAAAAATATATAATTACTTTGCAAGTCAACTTAAATGTAGGTAAACCATTGAATTGTAAAAAACTACTAAGGATCAAAGTGCCTTCATCTATGACTAAAGCATGTTCATTTATATAGGCACTTAAATATATGTAGTGTCATAACCATTCGATAGCGACTTTCCAAGATTCTAACAGGGCGAGTTCAGTTCCGTTCATTCTAGTACCTATTATTATTCTTTCTTAGTTAATTTTGAATCATAGATATTCAAAGTTTTCATTTATTCGCCCATTTTCGCTCGATCCTGCATTTATCGAAACAGTTTCTAGACATAATAAGGAGTAATCATTATTTCTTCTTTTCTCTATGTCGGAGATCGTTTGCATATCCGTTGTACTGAGTTAGAAGTGGCTCTGCCCTTTTTGTTAAAGTTGACCAATCACGTTTCATTTCAGCAGAAATGAAAAGAAATGAACATTTGTATACAAACAAAAATATTTTACTACTAACACGTGTAGTAAAAAAAACAGTAGGTAGTGAAAGTTACGAATAAGCGTAAGCCTACTTAGCAAAAACACAAGTAATTTTCTTGAATTTAACAATATCTCTCAATCTAAAATTAAATTAATCTAACTATAGTTTTTGGAAATAAAAAATGCATAGTAAGATAAACTTAATTTTATGATAAAAAGTCAGTTTTGTATTTCTATACAATACACCAATAGTAGGCAAACGCGTAACAAGACCTCATCGACATTTTCTATCAGGTGCGATTGTAGTCAAGCATTAAATTTTGCCTATTACATATAATAAAAAATATAGTATATCTTACTATAGCAACCTAATTAATGATATAGTAAATGAGAAAGTTCCTTAAGTAAGTTCGAAAACCTAGATAAGACAGAATAGTAATATAAAAAATATCTCGTCTAACGTTCAAGTTCGAATCCCGTGAAACAATCAAAGGATCAATGAATATTTCTATAAAACTAAAAAAAAACCTTGTCTAATAATAAACTAAGATAGTTAAGAGATTTTTTCTACCGCTAGCTACATCGAGCCAATGTTGAAATAAAACAAAGTGCGCATTTTATGAAATTTTTAAGTTTCGTTTCCAACTGACACCGTTATGATAACAAAGGTTTCAATTACAACCTACAATGTAATCCGCTTGTTCTTTTAAATAGAAAAAATAGACTTCTCATAGGTATTGTGCTATGTATTGTAGCCTAAAAGTTAAAGTAAGTGAGAACTGTACCCGATATAAACCAATAAATCTGTGATAATTATATACAAGGCAAACATTTTGGCGGCTTGTTCTTTGACAATAGTAAGTAAGAGTTTATTTATATAAGCAGATTTTTAATTTGAAAGACCGAGTCCCGAATTGTGTTTCTAGTCACGATGCGGATGACACGATGTGCATTAGGAGAATAATTGAAGCTGTTTTGGCAAAAGTGCGGTGAGTTAGCTTAAATAATTTGTTTGATTATTTTTTTATCGGACCAAGCTCATGCTCGACAGCTTTTAAGACCAGGTCAAGTCATGTGTTCATTTTTTATTGATTTGTTTAGTATTTGTTATAATAAAAAATGTATTTCCCGGTTTTCTCATGAAACCCAAAAAGGAAAATATTTATTTTTTATATCACAGTATAAGTAGTATGTATATTTTACAACCGGACACGAGCCGCTTTATGAGCTTCAGTTAGTATAATTTTTTTGCTGGATTCCTATTCCTTATACTGGCACGCCGTAGAACATTACTAATGGTTAGTGCTGTGCACTCAAGCTCCTCTGCAAATAGGCGACTTGTGATTGTGAAGTAAAAAGATGCTGTTCATATACCGACACCATACGGTGAACACGTTCCTGTGTGAGTATGGTCGGTTGCGGCATTCGTGGCAACCTTTTGAGACTCTCGTCACTGTCAAATTGGCGAAGCCATAATTTCACCGTACTTCGCTGTAATAAAAAAAAAATTATTGTATACATGCTAAAAGTTAACACAATCTGAAAAACTTATAAGTAGTTTATTTCATACAAAATCGTACCAAAACTCTTTAATGTTTGCCGCCTTTCTAAAGAACTGTATATTTTTGACCAGGATTAGGAAGCCCCGTCTATATTTTATTAATGGTGTATATTGTTCCAGTTTCTATAAGTTAAAACCGTATCGGTTCGTCAATTTTGTATTGTAATAACTCTTTTACCGCCATATTGTAGGTAAACAAAAGTCTGTATTGTTTCTATTATTCTTTAGAGAGGTCAATTCTGTACAATAAATATTTTTTCAAAATAACTATCAGGGGGTGATAAGTTACCGATACTGATGCCGAAAATGCAATCAGTAAAATTTTTGTCTGTCTGTCTGTATGTTCCTTATAGGAACAAAAACCAATAGACGGATTTTAACAAAACTTGGTACAATTATTCTTACTACTTCTGGGCAGGTTATAGAATACTTTCAATCACGCTACAAATAACAGGAGCAGAGCAATAAAGGGAAATGTTGGGAAAACGGGATAAGTTACTCCCTTTTTTGAGTTTCCGTCGCGTTTGTAGCCTTAATGGTTAAAGTTACATAGAAATTATGTATGACGAAAATATAATACATTGAAGTCGAAATATTTTACAAAAATGTAAGCGAATGCTGGCGATCGTTGGCGGCGTAAAATAAATTTAAAAAAAAGTCAATTTATTATTTTTTTTTACTATTTTGACTCAACAGCAAAGCATCGGCAGCATTTACTTAGCAAGCAGTACTTTACTTCAGCCAGCCGATATAAACAAGCTGTCGAAAAGAAGTTCCACGTCTTTAAGATGGTGGAAGGAGACTGGAGACCTGCTGGAGCTACGTATTCTTCAGACTAGTGGATCTACCGACTCCAAAGCCCCCTAGATCTTCCGCAAGTCATCTTGAGCTATGTACAAAAAAAAAACATCAGATAAGCTATAGCTTAAACATGACATATATGACAAATGTAGTGCTAGGTTTATCAATATATAATGGCTAGCGTGTGGCCACTATTTCACCTGATGGTAAGCTATGATACAACCTACGGTTGACCAAATTTCCTATTTGCTATGACATTACTTAGTCTAGTACTAGTAGTAGCGGTGAAGTTGTAAGAGAAAGTAACTACTATCGTTGAAATGTTCACATGTTCATCTAATGTTTCTTTTATGCGCTATCATTAAAGACGACTCTTTCTCAATAAATTACCATTTTTATGATAACCGTAAACAGCAATATCACGAATAAAACTCATAATATATTTTTTAATTTTTTAAAACATTTCTAATAATTTCAGAGCGTGTCTTCAAGTTTGCTTTAAACGTAAATGCATAGATAATCAAATTCCTTGTTGTGTTCTGATTCATGAAAAACTATGTAAACGTTTCGTCCAATCACAGACCCGCACGGTGAATTACCCCCACTCTATTTTGAACCGCCCACAACCCCTGCGTACGCGCAGACAGCACGAATTTTGCACTCAGTACATAGTTGGCAAGCAACTTGGCACCAGTGCAACTGCAACGTGATCTATTACGAATAACATTACATTCAAATTGAATTACTATTACGGTAAAAATGGAACCAGTAAAGGTCGCTAAAAATTCCCAGAAAGTAAGTCTAGTTTTTTTTGTAAAAAAAAAGTTTTGTATGAAATATGTAATGTGTCTTAACCAATAAAATTGTATCTGTTAAATAGGGCCAGAGTCAGCAACCGGAGCCATCAACATCTACGGGCTCCGGAACATCCAGGCCAAGGCGCGGCAGGCCGAGCGGTGCAAACCGCGTCCCTCTCACCTTGGTTCGTACACACCATATGTTACAAGCAAAATTTAGCATACAGTATGATTGTGACTGAATAATATATATTACTTTGCACTTTGTTTACAGGAAGAAAGACGCGCAAGGAATGCGCAGTACGAGAGGGAGCGGCGAGAAGACTTCGCCGCAGCGCAGGCAGAATTAGCGGAGGCTGCAGGTTGCGATCCCAATGTAAGTTATCAAAATTTACAACTTTCAAGCTGGCTGTACCGTTTGAAGCGATATGACTTATTTTATTTATTATTGTAGGCATCGACAATTAACTTGATGGCGTTCGTGGTGACAAAATTGAAGAAAGCCTCGGAAGATTTTAGTATTGAGGAGTATCAAAGAATAAATGCCAACCTGGAAGCTCAAAGTAAGTGTCTAACAATTACTTAAATAGAGCAAATTGAAATGTTTACTACGTTAAAAAATCTTATACATGTGTGAATTGTTACAGTTGCCAGTTGTTTCGAGAGGTTGGGGCCCGAATTTGTGTTAAGTGGCGATGAAGACGATGTAGAGATCGATGACTCAAATGTAAGTCACACTCATTTGATTACCTTGTTCTCATACCAGTTAATATCTTAGTGAAACAGTCCGCGTAGATAAAGTGGATAGAAATTGTTATTGGTGTTGATATATTAAATAACTTTTAATTTACAGACTCGTAAACGCAAGCTGTCGCAGGAGACGTCGCGAGACGAGAAACGCATGCGGCCAGGTCCAGAGCAAGTGCCAGTGAGTGGGAGTGGGCCAATGGTGTCGACCACTGACCTTGCGGAAGCTGGGCCCTTCTTCCCTGGAACACACTCACAGTTGCCATCTTCATTTTTCCGTAAGTATTTGACTATTATTTGCTTAAGTCATAAGAAAAGGATGCAAGGCTGTTTTATTTGTGTCAAACTATTTTTATTTTGTTTGTAGCCCACGGCTTATCTTTCCTTTTATTCTTATAGCATCTCCAAATTCTCCCGATGCAGAGCTACCAACGCCGTCACAGTTTGCGCACCAAACACCATCGCCACTTCTGCAGCAGGAGACGGCGTTAGAACAGGAGATAGCTCTTCGTTTCTGTGAGTAATTCTCTCTCTCTTTCCCTCTCGTAAAAATATATTTGAGATCCCTGCTTACTCTCCTTTAATCTTATTGATTGATTTTGTATTAAGCAACTTAATTGTACTTTTGTTTGCAGCTCAAGACGACTTGCTCCAGATTTACGGAGCTCTAGAATCTGAAGATTTTATCTGAAGAATATGGAGCTCCTGGTCTGGTCTATATTTGTCTTGGAGATCCATGGAACATTGGTCTCCCCATCTCCGACGCCTTTTATCGGCTGGTCGGCTCTGGATTTTCTTTGCTGGTCGTAAAGGGAGAAGTTGTTACCAAATAAAAATAATAAATATATATTTAATTTAAAATTTATTTTGCTTCTTTTATTTAATGTTGCTATATTAAGCCCACTGAGTATAATAATAATTGAAATTTGTGAATATGCAATAAAATTTCAAACAAACTTGTTCATAACCATTTTTACTTATTATTATAATTACTATAATTAGTATAATTAGCCTAATAAAATGTATATTAAAAAAATGTAATTTATTTTGCAATTCATCTTGCAAGTTAACTAAAATTATGAATTGTAAGAAATTAATTAAGCATCGATTAATAAAATTTCTAACGATATAGGCTCTTGTGAAAATGTAGAGTCATAACTATTCGATAGCGACTTTCCAAGACTCTAGCAGCGCAAGTTCCGTTCCGCGCGGAACGGAACTTGCGCTGTAACTATGCTGTAACTTGCACTGTAAGAATCTTGGAAAGTCGTGATCACGTTTAACGCGCGTTCAACTTGATCATGCAAAGAATTCTTTCTCAGTTAATATTAATGTGCTCGTTTGAAGTCATAGTTGGAAATCATATCAACCCTAGTCACTCCTGCTTTTATTTAAACAGTTTCTAGACATTATAAGGAGTAATCATTATTTTATCTTATCTCTATCTCGAAGATGGTATACCAAATCTTTTGTCCTTTTTGTTCCTTTTTTCATGAGCAAAGTAAATCCATTTTTATTATTTGTAACTACAACTTGCACTTGTCTTAAATACGCTTAGATATTTTATGTCGTATACCCGTAAGTAGGTGCAAGCTGATTTGAAGCCTAGTAATCTCTTTCTGGGTTCTTGTACATGAAATTGTATATGAGAGTTTTTTTGCGATAATAATAAATTTTCGTTCAAACAAAACGAACAAGTTACCAAATACATATGTTGGAACATTGAGGCTTTAGAATTGTGGTGATTTGGACATTCATGTCTTTATTGCGCTAAAAATTAATATTACAACACATAGTCAATCACTCACAGTCACTTAAACTAGATTCCCTGTGCTATAAGCGACGTTAGTGAATTCGTTAGAGTATGTTTTAATATTTAAAATTTATCGAGATAATTTAATCATTCACGCCACCAAGAAGTTTGTTTATTTATTGGAGTGCCTTGCAGTTAGTTTTATTCTTTCATATAGTTCAAAATTTCGGAAATGATAATTGAGCGGCTCGTTTGGCGTAAAACGCCATAATAAAGCGTCATGGCTAGTGTGTGTACAATAAAATAAAATGTTTAAATTGCATTTCCATATTGAACACATGATGTTGATAATTTTATAATTGTAACAATGATTAATGTGACAGAAACAAAGCTATCAATCCATAGTTGTCTTTTTGTAGTTTAACTTTATGTTCTTCATTATTTTCTAAATACAAAGTACCAAAGAAGTAAAAAGAGTCATAAACATACAGAATTAATTTACTACTCGCATTGATACTTGGCTTATTTAATAGATTCATATCATTATTGTAATCAAAAGTCAAAAGTCAAAAAGTAAAAAATCATTTATTTCAATTAGACCACAGTAGGCACTTTTGAACGTCAAGCAAGCAAAAAGGAAAAAAGTATATAAAATGAGCTTTAAAATTAAGCGTGTCAGTCTGTCCGTCTGTCCTCTAGTGAAGCTATTTGCTCGTTCCAAAGTGTAGATTCCTATGGAGAAGAACGAGCAAGAAACTCCATGGTTACTCTTTTTCAATCAGTTTTACAATACATTTCTTTGTTACATAATTTAGTCGGTTCCGATATGTGAGAACAATGTAACACTAATGTTCAGGCAAAAAGTACGAAAAAGAAGTGAACCTCAAGGACAACATATTTAGACAGCCTGGAGATGACCAGTCCCAATTGGCGGCGCCCGTTCACGAACATGACACGTACACCAGCACCACCCAACTCAACCATATTATAGGGAATTGGGCGATCCAGTGCCCGTGCCACCGCCAATGAGACCTCTGAGAGAGCATGAAAGCTCCCAGCCGACACAAGTACCTATATTCTACAAGACTTACTTAATTATAATAGGTTACAGGGTACTCACATTTACAAAAACTTAGAAGTTCATCAAAAATTAACAACATTGTGTACAATTTAATAATTAAAATAAAAAATTCCTCTAAACATCCTGTGGAGTAGGACCAGCTAGCCTCCAAGCATTTTTATCTTGTATATAATCATTTAGTTTGTAGTATGCTAGTTTACATAAATGTTTCTTTATACATAATTTAAATTTGCTTTCATTTAGATTTTGAATTTCAACTGGGATTTTATTATAACATTTAACACAGAAACCCAGAAATGACTTATGCACTTTTGCCAATCTAAATAAAGGCTGACTCAATCTATTCCTATGTCTAGTATGATAATCATGTTTGTCAGATACCTTTACAAATAAGTGTAGGTTCTTCCTAACATACATAATGTTTTCATAAATAAATTGACTCGGTACGGTCAGAATGTTGATCTCCTTAAACTCTTCTCTGAGAGATTCGCGACGACCTAAGTTATATATGGCTCTGACGGCACGCTTTTGCAAGATAAAGATAGACTCAACGTCGGATGCCTGTCCCCACAACAGAATTCCATACGACATGATGCTGTGAAAGTAGCTAAATTACACTAGTCTTGCCGTGCCTACATCGGTTAGCTGACGGATCTTCCAGACAGCATAAGCTGCAGAGCTCAATCGTCCTGCTAGAGACCTGATGTGGGGCCCCCATTGCAACTTCTCATCTACAGTGATCCCCAGGAAAGTAGTCTCTTTTACAAATTCTAGTTTCTGATCATTTAATAATATATCATCACATAGGTTACTTTTAACATTTGGTAAAATAAATTTAATGCATTTAGTCTTTTTATCATTTAGTAATAAGTTGTTTATTGTAAACCAATTTTGAACCTTCATTAAGGCATTATTAACTTCGTCATATTTGTTTGTTCGTCTGTTTATTTTAAAAATCAATGAAGTGTCATCAGCGAATAATACCATATGCGGTTCATTTTGGAACAAATGGGGCAGGTCATTAACATAAACTAAAAATAGAAAAGGACCTAATATTGAGCCCTGCGGTACGCCCATAGATACGCTAGCACCCAGTGAGTTAACTTTGTTGATATAATTAGTTTATTCTAATGTCAATTAGTGATCACTAATTGTGTCTTTTTATTTGGTGTCATTTAATAGTGTATTTCTAATACAATAAGCTTCGAATACTTTAACTGTGCTTGATTTATCATACCATAAAATAATAATATCACCACTAAAACTCGGAAATATTTCTTTTTATAAATTTTACAAAAAGCCTATGTAAAATTTCTAAAAAAAACTTCCTTTTTAAAATCCTATTTTTATTGAATAACTCGACCACTTTGTTTTATTGCAAACTCCTGTATTCCAAAATTCTTTGAATGCTAGACAAAAACGGGTTTTCTTACCCCCACTGTATTTTAAACAACCGTACGCGATTTGTCATAACCAAATTAACAAATGCCAAAAAATGCTTTTCAATGTACAGTCTATAAAACGCAAGCTCTCAGAAAAAAAGTTTCGGTGACGACAAGCGTTTGCGGCCTGGCCTGGTATTAGCTTTTCGCGAATGGCAGTCGATGGGCCTCGGCCGCTGACCTTGCTGACGCTGGACCATCATAGTCCCCAGATACACTACAACCGACGACAAAGATGGAGTTGAGTTTAGTTTACAGTGAGTATTGGTTCTATTTAGTTCACAATATCATCACAATAGTAAGATAAAAGTGAGGGAAAGCTCGCGTTCGTTGGTGGCGTAAAATAAATTTAAAATTATGTCAATTTATTATTTTTCTTTTTAAACTCAACTCTGCACGACTATCGAAAGCAAAGCATCGGCATTGTCATTGTGCTTTACTTCAGCCAGCCGATATAAACAAGCTGTCGAATAGAAGTTCTACGTCTTTAGCCTGGTGGAAGGAGACTGTAGACCTGCTAGAGCTACGTATTCTTCAGACTAGATATACGCATTCCAATGCTCCCTAGATCTTCACATATTATGCTTCAGAAAAGCTCAATAGTGTCGGCGACAATATCAATATCATACATACATTTCTCAAATAACAGAATTTAAATACCCTACATTTAAGCAATTATAGCTTAAATTAATCCATATTTTTTTACCTGTGGCTTCACCCGCACGGAAACAGTGCTGCTGATATTCGAGGGTACGGCGCGTAAGCTTGTGACTAAGCAATGGAATCAAGATCCTGGTATCAAACTAGGACATATTTTGATGTATTTATGTTTCGTAGACAATCGAAATGGTAAATGCCTTTCAGATGTATTCATCACCGCCTCTAAGACAAATATGAAATTCATGATACTACCACCCTTGGTTGCATCACTATATTTTAAAAATATTATTTGTCTTTAGTCACTTCTACGAATATATATATATGTATATAAGGCATGTTCATCGTCATTACTCCAGCGTTTACTCAAACATTTCCCAGAAAAAATTAGAAATTTCTTTTGGCTTGTCTTATCTTTCACCGTGGATTGCACACCTTTTGTTCTTTTTTATTATTTCATATAAAAGGTTCTTTGAACGTTTAACTTACTTATATTTGTTTAAATACCACATGGCCTAGTTCATACCAGCCTTGCTACTTTTGGGTAAACAGGTGTTACCTTATGTAATCTCCTGTTGCATGTGAGGTTTCATAAATAGATCATAAGCTATTAATATAGTTACTTAATTGCAAAAATAAAAAATAACATGCAGTCAACGGTGCATGATAAAACTGTATGTTATGAAAGTGATGAATTTATTTTTGAAAATCTTTAATTTTTGCTTTTACAGTTCGTGAATGTATTACTGAGCGGTATACAATTTATACCTACCGCCGACATTATGTTATAATTCATTGTGACTTTCTTTACCTAGTATGATCATTTCGAGTTAGATATCAACTATAATTTAGAGTGTGAATATTAAATATAAATCTTTCGAAAAGTTCTTTATATTTTGCTTAGCCTTTGTTTTGTCCTTTATTGTAGAACAACAAACAATAATTGACGCCTCTCTAAAGAATTTTAAGTAAAGAGACCGGGATTAGACAGTCCCGTTTCTTTTAAACTATTTTATTGACCGTGCACATTGTTCTGGTAGGAAGGAATATCCGTTATTTTTATATCATCTTAGTGATATAGTGATTAGCATAAGGAGGTAATATGAAAATTTTAACATTTATATTTCATTAAAGTATACTCTACATCAACCAAAGGTTCGACTGGCAGAGAATGAATGTGGCATTTAGTCCATCTTAAAAATAATTAAATAAATACACAAAGTCAATCAAGTATCAATCAAGTAGTTACGGTGTGTCGTAGCACTATTGCTACGGCGTAGCCAACATACGAGTATGGCGTATTAGTTTATAACTAGCTTCCGCCGTATGTTGGTAAAAAGTAGCCTATATTCTATTTCTTAGTGTTTCATATGCCTGTGCCAAATTGCATCCAGATCCATGCAGACATTTTAGCATGATTGAGTTACAAAATTCAAACATCGTACCTTTCGGATTTGTAATATCAGTAAATAATACGGTGTGCTAAAAAACGAAAAAAGGTATTATAAGTAGCAATATACGATTGCTTTTGGGTGTATCTTGTGGGTATCGTTCAATTCAAACCACCCACAGAGTCGACTTTACTCAGGTAATTAATCGTTTTAGCCTATCTGTTAAAACAGGCTAAAGCATTTCTTTATCTTTATAATATATCTTCTTTATGCAGTACTTGTTTTAACCGTACACTACACTACCCATGGCCAAATTTATTTTATACATTTCCATCTAAAGGTTGCCTGAAAGAAATCACCTTGTGTGATAAGAACGCCCATTGTAATCACAAAATTCGGTCATAGTATCCAATGTATTGCTACTTGGTGTATGTGTGCAATAAAATATATATAAAATAAATAAAATAAGGTGTACTTTTGTAATATTATGGAAACAAAACATAATGGCAATCCCATAATAGTTAACACCAGTCATTTTGAAAAAGTTCACAAAAACTATTGAAAGTTACCATTGTGGTTTCTTATCTAGCTTTCGACTGATCGGCTTTATAGAAACGACCAATGAAAGATTTAGCTCAATGGTCTTATAATTTTTAGATATTAAAGAGCATATTTAAAAATTCATTGCTCTCTTTGTTAAAACCACATATTATTTATACACGTATGTAATGGTTTTGCTCCCTTTAAGTAAATATACTGGGCAAGTTATTTGAAAGGAAGCAAAAGTAGTAATAAATGGCACTGATTTGGTACTCTCTTTTATATATGTATAACATTTAAAATATCATTAATACGTATTTGAATTGTTTTAATATCAAATGCCTTACTTTGTGGGTAAGCAAATGTTCATCTTTTGTTTCTTTTTATTTCGTATCATAGAAGGCAAATCTTTCTCAATAAACAAGCTTTTTTATGAGAACCGAAAACAGGAATGTCACCGATAAAACTCATAATAATATTTTTGAATTTTTAAAACTTTTCTGATTATTTCAGTGAGTCTTCAATTTTGCTTTAAACGTAATCGATAGATTACCAAATTCTTTGTTGAGTTCTAATTCATGAAAGACAATGTAAACGTTTTGTCTAACCACAAAACCCGGAACGGTGACTTACCCCCACTCCATGTTATACCGCCTGCAACCCCTGCGTAGGCACAGGCAGCACGAATTTTGCACTCAGTACACAGTTGGCAAGCAACTAGTCGCCAGTGCAATTGCAACGGGTTTTGCTACGTTTAACATAATAGTTTAATTGAATTATATTTAAAAATGGAATCAGAAAAGGTGTCAAAAACTTCCCCGAAAGTAAGACTAGTTTTTTTGTAAACACAAGATTTTGTGTGAAATATGTAATGTGTCTAAACCAATAAAATTGTATCTGTTAAATAGGGCCAGAGTC